ATGCACTTTCAAGTTCTTCATAAAGAGTAGTTACCTCATTTTGAGTAGAGTTTTCATTTTCAAGAGCCATGAGACATAAGTTGGCTACTTCATTTTTAATTTTATCACTTGAGCTTTCATCTCCACTTTCTCCCCAAGTTGCTACCATGGCCTTTTTGTTTCTTTTGTAGTCTTTTTCATGATTCTTCAATTTTGGACAATCCATCTTCATATGTCTAGGATTTTTGCACTCATAGCAAATAATAGGCACTTTCTTGTTCTCTTTGTTGTACTCTTTCTTGAAAAGTCTTCTTCCTCCATAATTATTTTTCTTGAAGTGCTTTTTGAGATTTCTACTAAACATGGCATAGCTTTTATCCTCACTGGAGTTTTCATGTTCTTCATCATTTGATGAGGCTTTGAATGCAATTATACTTTTCTTTTTGTTTTCAACATCCTCATGTCCTTTCATGGTGATCTCATGAGTCATAAGGGAACCCATAAGCTCATCCAATCCAAGTGTAGAGAGATCTTTGGCTTCTATAATGACGGTGACCTTTGCTTCCCAATTCTTTGGTAAATACCTAAGAATTTTTCATACCAACTCACTGTTAGTATAAGTTTTGCCAAGATATTTCAAAGAGTTTATAATTTCAGTAAATCTAGTAAATATACTTGAAACAGATTCATCAGAGTTCATTTTAAACAATTCATAACTATGAACAAGCATATCAATACGAGATTCCTTTACTTGGTTTGTACCTTCTTACGTTACCTCAAGTTTGTCTCAAATTTCTTTTGCCGAATCACAACTTGAAATTTTATTATACTCTTTAGAGTCTAATCCACAAACAATGGTGAGTTTGGCTTTAGCTTTGGCATGCAATAATTTATGATCTCTCTCATCACATTCATCTTCAATTTTAGGTATACTAATATTGTCAATTAATTTGGTAGGAATTTTTGGACCTTTGGTGACAATAATCCACATGGCATAATCAGTGACTTGTAGGTATAGAGTCATCTTATCCTTCCAGTGACTATAGTTGTTTCCGTCAAACAATGGTGGCCTATTTGTGGCTTGTCCTTCAGCTAAGGTTGCCATGGATCGAAACTCCTAGATGGTTAAATCTAAAATAAGAGTCTAGGCTCTGAAACCAATTGTTACCCAAAAGACAACCTAAGAGGGGGGGGGGGTGAATTAGGTTTTTACAATTAAAAATTAATAATGCCCTAATAAAAATTATGACTAGCACAATAGATAAATATAGTTAATGAAATAAAAATAATTAAAACAAGTGTTCTAACAACTATGTCAGTTAATGATTTTAGCACAGTGAAAATGTGAAATATAGCTACAACAATTTAAATAAAATCAAGAGATAAGGGAGAGAGAGGTAAACAAATTTATAGTGGATCGGTTTCAACTCGGCTTACGTCCACTCCTCAAGCTTCACTTGAGATTTTCCACTATGCTCTAGCTTCACTGGGGTGCTAGCAACCTCTTTACAAATTGAGCAATCCTCCACGAATTTTATACAGACTTTCTAAGTCAAGAACACTGAGTGTACTACACTCTTACAAGGTTGAACAGAAGGTATTTTTGCTTTCACAGAAAGCTCCAAGAATTATCTCTCAAAGATAGATATAAAAATGAAGCTTTGGTTTTTCTGTAAACCTCACACAAGAAAGATGGGCTTAAAGTTATAAGGCTCAGTATATAATTTCTGAGAGAGGATGTAAACAAAAATTGAAGAATACTTCTCAGAGAATTTTTCAGAGAATAGATGTGAGTGATTATAGATCAAATAATATTTTCAGATTTTTTTGTAACTAGTTTTACATTAGAGGCTTTGGTATGTATAATGAAAAATATAGCCGTTTATACTCGTTGTAGTCATCATTACTAATTTGAATATCTTTCACTTGAACCTTTTGAACCTTTTAAACCTTTTGAACTATTCATTTGAATTTATAACCGTTGTAACTCCATCATTACTATTTTGAATATCTTTCCCTCCATCATTACAAATTTGAATATCTTCCACTTGAATCTTTTGAACCTTTGTTTTGTGCTATTTGAACTACTGATTTAATCAAATATTAAATACATTCTAACAACATTTTGGATAAAGATTTAGGTGGAAAATAATGGGACAAAATAAATTTTGATTCTATTTTTCTCTTTCAAATAAATTAAAACATAATTAAATAAATCATCAAAATAAATTTTGGATTTAAAATATAATTAACTAAATTATCAAAATAAATTTTGGATTCTATTAAAACATAATTAAATAAATCATCAAAATAAATTTTGGATTTAAAATATAATTAAATAAATCATCAAAATAAATTTTGGATTCTATTTTTCTCTTTCAAATAAATTAAAACATAATTAAATAAATCATCAAAATAAATAAGTCTAACAGATGACTAAGATCTTTAGTCACATGATCCAATACCGTAAAATCCAAGTACCAAGGACTTTGAACTGAGGAAGAACCTATTGAAGAATGAGACATGAAGGCTGATGAAGAAGTAACAGAAGCTCGTGGTTGCTGCTGTTGATTGTGATTTTGGAATTTTGATTTGAAACCTGATATTGTGGATCCATGCGATACCAACACTCCAGTACAGAATGACTTGAGCCTTCACAGATTTGCCAAATTTGATTTGAGAACCTTCTTCGACCTGGAGATGGAGTAAATCGACCATAGCCTCTATTTCGTCCTCTTCTTCCTCCTCTGGAATAAAATTGACCTCGATTGGAGCCAAAATTCTGAGATCTTAAAAAAGAAGTATGAAAAGAAGTTGGAGATCCTTTGACTATAGAGAAAGCTATAGTTGATTCTATGGATTTTTTTTTTTATCTTGGATTCCAAATGAATTGCTTCAGAACACAGTAAAGCACAAAGATCATCCATGGTGATGATGTTTGGTCTAGCACGAATTACAGTAGCAAATGAATCAAACTCAAAAGGAAGACCATTCAGAGTCACTAAGACTAGATCTTTATCTTCAATTTTAATAGATGCTAAGGCGAACTGACTGACGAGTTCCTTAATTTTGGAGAGATATTCTTCTATTGACTCAGTTTTCTTAGCAACATTGTTTAATTTGTTCTACAATTGGTGAATATAAGATCGAGACAAAGTTCAATACCTCTTGTGGAGAGAGAGCAATGATGAAACTGAAGCACAAATGCATAGATTGAAGGTGTAAGTGTTGCAGTGATACAATTAAGCAAGTGTGTATCAATCAAAGTCCTTTGAAGAAATTCTGAATTTGGAATGGAAGCTCCTTCTAGATCTATTATTGTAGAGGATGGACATGGAATTGATCACTCAACATAACCAAGCAGATTTGTTGCTCGAAGAATATTCGAAAGCTGAGTCTTCCAAACAAGGAAATTGGAACCATCAAGTTTGACAGTAACAAAGGATAAAAGATTATTGGAAGCAAAGATGATAATGGTGATGCCGTGGATCAGTTGCTCGTCGGAGCTTTAAAGCCCTAATACCAAGAAGAAAAACTGAAACCAATGTACTCTTCTTATTCTACATTACATTTAGAGAATACATCAGCTATATTTATATACAAAGTAATGAGGAACTCAGTTTTCTTAGCAACATTGTTTAATTTGTTCTTCAATTGGTGAATGTAAGATCGAGACAAAGTTCTATACCTCTTGTGGAGAGAGAGAGCAATGATGAAACTGAAGCACAAATGCATAGATTGAAGGTGTAAGTGTTGCAGTGATACAATTGAGCAAGTGTGTATCAATCAAAGTCCTTTGAAGAAATTTTGAATTTGGAACGGAAGCTCCTTCTAGATCTATTATTGTAGAGGATGGACATGGAATTGATCACTCAACATAACCAAGCAGATTTGTTGCTCGAAGAATATTCGAAAGCTGAGTCTTCCAAACAAGGAAATTGGAACCATCAAGTTTGACAGTAATAAAGGACAAAAGATTATAGGAAGCAAAGATGATAATGGTGATGTCGTGGATCAATTGCTCGTCGGAGCTTTAAAGCCCTAATACCATGAAGAAAAACTGAAACCAATGTACTCTTCTTATTCTACATTACATTTAGAGAATACATCAGCTATATTTATATACAAAGTAATGAGGAACTCAACTAATCATCTAGAACAAAATATCTTCTAACAAGCTAATTGTCTTCTCAACTGTGTAACTAACTCCTAAGCTGGTGAACTTCTTGAACTGCAATCTGAGCCGGAGCCACCTAAGCTGGCTGCACTACTTGAGTCTGAACTGGCTGAACTAATGAGTCTAAGCTGGCTAAACTATATTCCTCAACAGAACATAACATAGTTTAAAGGATCCAAAGAAAAAAAAGGATAAAACTGACACAAACATGATAGCACATCACAAGACACTATAGAAAACTTGAGAACAGAGAGACTAAAACACTCTTTAGTCACCAAACAAGGAACAAACCATCACAATTGTGCTACATATCTAGAAAAAATATCTAGAATTTAAACATGTGGACACGATTCATTCTTTTTTTATCTATGGCCCACACAATACACAAACTTTAAATCTACACCATACACGTTACTTTATGGTAGAATTATGGATAATTTGTCATGGTTCCTAGAATTATTGAATCATCAAAGCCACTTCAACTAACACTAACCAGAAACATAGATTTATTAGGCAAGGAGAACAACATTATCACAATTTCTTCCAACAACCCAATATACCACCCTTTCTTTCAAAAGCCTCATTCACATTAATTTGCTACCAAACAGTTTTGATCATTTCTTACATGTATATTCATGATATCTAGCCTTAGGATCTAATAATATAAAACGATAAAAAAAAAACAAACAGAGAATATATTTGAATCTAAGCCTCTCATCTCACATGCAAGTTTTTTGTTTTTCATGTTTGCAACATAATCAAATCTCAAAAACCTGGCAGCAATAGGCAAATAAATGGATTTAAAAATTTCAGAAGCAGCTGCAGAATCAAGCAACATACCTCTTGTGGCAGCATTTGCATGTCAGTTTATGTGGATGCACCAGTCCTGCCACCTCACCTCCCTGTCTAACCCCACCTATCTGCCCACCCTACCTATCCTCCACGTACCCTCCATGCAAACCCCCAAACCTACTATAAATCCCCACCACCACCACCACCACTCTTCCCTCACCCACCACCACCACACCAGAGAATTAATCACTCACAATGGCAAAGCTTGCAGTCCTAGCACTAGCCCTTTTTGCCCTGATCGCCCTCGACCAAGCCTCCGCCTTCCGCACCACCATCACCACCACCGTGGACGAGGAAATGGCAGTGGAAAACCCCCGAGGAGAGTCCCAGCAACAGAACTGCCGTGAGCAGTTCCAGCAGCAGCAACAGCTCCGTGACTGCCAGAGGTACATGGCGCAGCAGGCACAGCGATTTGCAAACCCGAAGCACCGCAAGCAAGGCCTCGACGAATGCTGCAACTAGTTGGAGAAAATGGACCAGGACTGCCAGTGCGAGAACTTGAGGGAGGCGATAACAAAAAAGCAACAGCAGGAGGTGTTGGATATCACCCCATGTGAGGGGTGATTCCTTCTCCATGTGCTCTATGTGATCATAGGGTGGCAGCCACATGGTGGGGTAGCATCCAACTCACTAAAGGTGTGAAGAAGGAGCTGGCCATGTGTTAGCCAAGACCTCCAGCTTGCTCCATCTTCAGTGTATAAATGGAGGCTGGGAGGGAGAGTTCAATTGAGAGAGAGAGAGAAAGAGCAAGCCAAAGAGAGTGAGAGATGTGAGGCGGAGAGACCGTCTCTCTCGGTGTGAGCGAGGGAGACGGGTGAGTGGGTGAGTGAGGAGAGTGTGAGCTCCTCCTCTATTGTAATCTTTCTGTTATAGTGATAAACAGCTACTCTTCCGTGGACGTAGGCATTGAGGCCGAACCATGTTAAATATGGTGTCTCCTTGAGTGTGGGTGTGTTTTTTCTGCTTGGTATAATTTTTATATGGTCTTGGGCATCCCAACAGGGGAGGGAGAGATGAGGGAAGAGGAGAAGAGAAAGATGGAGCAAGCGGCTGAGGACTTGCCCCTGAGGTGCTGTCTCAGCTCACAGAGATGCCAGATTGAAGCTAACTGGTTCTGAATGAGGTGTGTTGCGTTGTGTGCAATGTAATAACAAAGGTCACCACTGCTCTAAGCTGGGTTTTAGCCAAGTTATGATGGTGGCGGTGACCATCTAGTAATACGCACATTATCGTGTGTGTCTTTTAGGTGTTTTTTTCTTTTTTTTGGGTGTGTGTGTTTTCAGTTTGGGCTTTGTAGCCTTGTAGAGTCCTTACAAACAAATAAATAAAAAAATAAAGTGTACTTTAATAAGAATGTCTCTCCGGATATCACTGCAACTACCATCTCCTGCGATCAACTACCTCCGACTGTCGGCAGCACCGCAAGATACTAGTGGCTAGCAAGCATCGGTTTTTAAAGGAACAATAATGCTAGGTATCATGAAAACAATGTCATGAAAAGTTTTCATGAAGATTCTCTACCCTTGGATTAGATTATAGTGTTTATAGTGTTTTATTGTATGTTATGCATTCACCCTTGGATTAGTTTCATGAAGTTTTTCATGATATTTATTTCATGATACGTAGCATTACTCTTTAAAGGAATGGGGAAAAAAAATAAAAAATTTCTTTGATCCCATATTGTGAAAAAACTGTGCTCTTTAACTATATTTTTTCGGGTATCAAAACTCGCATGTAAATTCTATAGCATGCAATTCATAGTGTGTTTTTTTTTTTCTGTTAATTCTATAGCATGCAATTCAAATTTTTGATCTCGAAAAAGTGAACTTTTTAATGCAAAAGACATTAAGGGATTAATTTTTATTGTCGTGAAAATAATCGCTAAAAGGTTGTTTCGAAATTTAAAAAATAAAATTTTTAACGATAAAATTTTGAAAATGTCAAAATTAAAATTTTTAGCAATAAAATTTTGAAAACACTAATAAATACATTTTTAGTGATAAAATATTTGATCTGAAGAGAGTTTATTTTTTTTGACAAAGAAGTTTGTCTTAAAAAGATAATAATCCATCATTAATGTTTAACAAAAATTTATGAATAATACTTTTTGTAACAAAAGTATTTAGTCCTTAAAAAATAATTCTGTCTCTAAATTTTGATCTCTAAAACATTAAATTTTGTAGGTGTGCGTGTGTGTGAAGATACTAAAGAAGTCATTGAGTTTGGAGCAGGGCCGGGCCGGGGCATAGGCCCACCAGGTCATGGCCTAAGGTCCCTTAAAATAGACCCAAAAAAGCAGTTCCCTCCTATTATAATTTAGTGTAATATATTAGGTATGTTTTAAGTCCAAAAAAAATTGAAAAAGGCCTAAACTAAAAATAAATTGACCTATTGAAAAATTGAAAGGCCCATTCAAAAAAATTAGCATTGTTATCCATTGACAATATACCAAAAAAAAGGGCCCCTCCTATTATAATTTACTGTAATATATTAGCTATGTTTTAAGTCCAAAAAAAATTGAAGAAGGCCTAAACTAAAAATAAATTGACCTATTGAAAAATTGAAAGGCCCATTCAAAAAAATTAACATTGTTATCCATTGACAATATACCAAAAAAAAGGGTCCCTCCTATTATAATTTACTATAATATATTAGGTATGTTTTAAGTCTAAAAAAAATTAAGAAAGGCCCAAATTAATTTAAAATAAATTGACTCATTAAAAAAATTGAAAGGCCCATTTAAAATAATTAACATTGTTATCCATTGAAAATGATTTTGCAAAAAAATTAGATTATGCATGTATGATTGATTTATTTGCTTCTAAAATGTAAGAGAGCAAGAATCAAGCGATACTTATTAGTTGTTGTAATGTAATGCTAAATATTTTTTGTGATTTTGACACAAATCTTTTGCCTTTTACATTTAATTTTTTTTTTTTTTTTTTTCATTCAATGAAAAAAAAATGTGATGGGCCTAGAAATTTATCAATTAATTGTCGACTTTGGACTCTGGAAACCTCAAGGCTGGCCTAGTTTGGAGGTATGTCCAAATCAAGCATGACAAACAAAATCATAAGGAGTAATGTTAACAATAACAAGTGTGGCCTAGGAGTAAGCATTGTTCGGATTGATTCAGTTTGAAAAAAAATTGTGACTAATTCATTGTTTACGATTTCATAAAAGTTGGAATCAAACCAATCTATTTAAATCATGGAACCTGTTAGACTTATTTATTTTGATGATTTATTTAATTATGTTTTTAATTTATTTGGAAGAGAAAAATAGAATCAAAATTGATTTTGATGATTTATTTGAAAGAGAAAAATATAATCAAAATTTATTTTGTCTCATTATTTCTCACCTAAACCTTTATCCTAAATGTTGTTAGAATGTATTTAATATTTGATTAAATCAGGAGTTCAAACAGCCTAAAATAAAGGTTCAAACAGCCTAGCACAGCAGCAAGCCAAAATGTTCAAAATGTTCAAGTGGAAGATATTCAAATTAGTAATGATGGAAGTACAACGGCTATAAACGGCTATAAAGGTTTAAATGGCCAAAGGGTTCAAAATATTCAAGTGGAAGATATTCAAATTTGTAATTATGGAGTGGAAGATATTCAAATTGGTAATGATGGAAATACAACGGCTATAAATTCAAATTAATACAACGGCTATAATTTTCATTATATATACCAAAGCCTCTAATGTAAACAAGTTACAAAAAACCTGAAAATATTCTTTGATCTATAATCACTCACATCTATTCTCAGAAATAATACACGGAGCCATATAGCTTTAAGTCCATTTTTTCTGTGTGAGATTTACAGAAAAATCAAAACTTTATTTTATATATCTATCTTTTAGAGATATTTATTGTAAGCTTTCTTTGAAAGTAAAAATACCATTTCATCATGTAAAAGTGTTGCAAACACTGTGTTCTTGAAATCTTGAGAGTGGTTGTGAATCACCTAAGATTTGCAAGGGTTTGGGCTTGTGAAGTCTATGTAAAATCCGTAGAGGATTGCTCCATTTGTAAAAAGGTTGCTAGCACCCCTGTGAAGCTAGAAGATAGTGGAAAATCTCAAGTGAAGTTTGAGGAGTGGATGTAGACCGAGTTGAAGCCGAACCACTATAAATTTATTTGTCTCTCTCTCCTTTATCTCTTTATTTTATTTTAAATTGTTGTAGCTATATTTCATATTTTTACTGTGCTAAAATCATTAACTAACATAGTTGTTAAGACACTTGTTTTAATTATTTCTATTTCATTAACTATATTTATCTATTGTGCTAGTCATAATTTTTATTAGAGTATTATTAATTTTAATTGTAAAAACCTAATTCACCCCCCTCTTAGGTTGTCTTTTGGGTAACAATTGGTATCAGAGTCTAGACTCTTGTTTTAGATTTAACCATCTAGGAGTTTCGATCCATGGCAACCTTAGCTGAAGGACAAGCCACAAATAGGCCACCATTGTTTGACGGAAACAACTATAGTCATTGGAAGGATAAGATGACCCTATACGTACAAGCCACTGATTATGCCATGTGGATTGTTGTCACCAAAGGTCCAAAAATTCCTACCAAATTAGTGGACAATATTAGTGTACCTAAGACTGAAGGTGAATGTGATGAGAGAGATCATAAATTATTACAAGCCAATGCTAAAGCCAAACTCACCCTTGTTTGTGGATTAGCCTCTAAGGAGTATAATAGAATTTCAAGTTGCGATTCGGCAAAAGAAATTTGGGACAAACTTAAGGTAACGTATGAAGGTACAAACCAAGTGAAGGAATCTCGTATTGATATGCTTGTTCATAGTTATGAATTGTTTAAAATGAACTCTGATGAATCTATTTCAAGTATGTTTGCTAGATTTATTGAAATTGTAAACTGTTTGAAATCTCTTAGCAAAATTTATAGTAACAATGAGTTGGTAAGAAAAATTCTTAGGTGTCTACCAAAGAATTAGGAAGCAAAGGTCACCGCCATTATAGAAGCCAAAGATCTCTCCACACTTGGATTGGATGAGCTTATGGGTTCCCTTATGACTCATGAGATCACCATGAAAGGACATGAGGATGTTGAAGATAAAAAGAAAAGTGGAATTGCATTCAAAGCATCATCAAATGAAGAAGAACATGAAACTCCAGTGACGATGAAAGTTATGCCATGTTTAGTAGAAATCTCAATAACCACTTCAAGAAAAACAATTATGGAGGAAGAAGACCTTGCAAAAAGGAGTACAACAGAGATAAAAAGAAAGAACCTATCATTTGCTATGAATGCAAAAATCCTGGACATATGAAGATGGATTGTCCAAAATTGAAAAATCATGGAAAAGACTACAAAAGAAACAAGAAGGCCATGGTAGCAGCTTGGGGAGAAAGTGAAGATGAAAGCTCAAGTGATGAAATTGAAAATGAAGTAGCCAACTTGTATCTCATGACTCTTGAAGATGAAGACTCTACTCAAGATGAGATAACT